CGCCACCACCGCCTCCACCTCCTCCTCCACCCCCTCCTCCACCGCTTCCTCCACCTCCACCTCCACCTCCACCACCATCACCGCCGCCACCATATGTGTATCCTCCGCCGCCCCCACCACCACCGTCACCACCACCTCCTTGTAACGATCTTCCAACGCCGGTGCATTACTAAGGCTCCTTTTGACCGAGTGGTGGGATGCAATAGTTGAAACTGCCATCTGTTTAGTTATTGTGTTCTACGTTATGTAACGCTAGTGTTCATTTAATTGCTCTTTATTTTCTTTAAATTTATTTATCAAAAAGTTGAATGAGCTTTAATTGTTTGTCTAATAAAAAAAGTAGACAAATGAAGATTGAAGGGAGATATGTGTAATTTGCTTTGGCGAGAAGACAAGTTTATTGCATAGTACGTGTACTTAATAAGATATGATCACGAGTCGCATCTTTCACTTTCCCATCGTTACATTCTCGTACTTGTAGCTTTAGTCTCAGTCGGACCATACAAGAAATCATCTCTCTAGTTATTGCATGTCCCATTGTACATTTAATTTTCACCAAGAACACAAGACGGTCCCTTTAGTTAGGTGCTTTTGCTCTCTCCTAATGGCTATTAAAAAAAAAAAACCCTTTCGTAATCCTAATCGTTTTTTTTTTTTTTTAAACTCTATCGGCTGATCCGTTCAGCTTCGGTAAGAACGCATCGAAATGTTATAGAGTAAAACCACACCACATGATCGATCCGTTGTCCTCTTGGGTTTAATCCATTTGAAACCATTGTCCACATTTTGCAAGACCCATTTTTTTGGATATCTAAACTAAAACATTAAGAACAACTTCATCGGTAAAATATTTGAGTTTCTTAAAATATTAATACTAAAAGATATCGATCAATGTAATCCAATGTCTCTCTTCTATTTTATTAGATGCATACATTAGAGCCGATATGATTATATGTAATTAAATAAGATGTGCTTTCATTTTCATCTAATAAACAAATAAAATCACATTTGGGCGATGTGCCAATGGTTGACAAAGTTTACAAAACATTATATTACTTAAATTAGATCGCATTAATTGAAATACTTAAAGAAAATTAATTGCTCCAACCCGAGACCCAATAAACAAACGAAACTTTTTTATTGGGCTTTAGGTTAAGCAATTTGTTATAGTTTCACCTTAGCAACGGAAGCCCAATAAACCATCTAGGCAATTTGGTATTGGTTCTGAACCCAAAACCGGGCCGGTTAAGATTAAACCGGAGATGGAAGAATGGGGCTTCAAGGAGACAAAACTGGTGCAAACTGCAAAGTTGATGTGTCGTTACCAAACCGACAATGCGACCTTTAAACCATGATACTTCACCATCGATCGTTAGAAACATTGACCATTCACCCACCGCTTATATACTCTTTGACATTTACATACTTCCTTTGTGGCTTCACCATATCAATAAATATATATGATATGTACAAATGTTTTTATATATCATATATGTTTATTATCAGTTAATCATTATAGGATGTTAATATATCATATGCATTGGCCCCATAATCTTTCTGCCTTTTTTTTCTTTGTAATATGAGGACTTTACAGAATAATAGAGTTGCAAATGTTGGGGGCATTTTTTTACCAACCAAAAAGAGAAAAATCAATATATTTGCTTCTAACATATGACATTTTAAAGACATCTCACCTTTTTATACTTTCAGGTGACTCTTTTTCTTTTTCCTTTTGTTTTAGGAGATCTTGATGACCCCTTCGTTATCCCTTTTGTGATTTTGAAGATATTGCTATTGATGTTTGTTGGTGGGCTTGTAGTGTGCGTGCAAAAGAAAATCCTAGTTTCGGGAGTTGGGATACATCTTTAGATATGGGGTAGGTTTGGACCACAAGTGAAGATAGAAAAAAGAAACTACAGTGTAGTTTAGAACATCTTTTATCAACGTAAAAAACCTATCCATCTTATGATCATATTATCGTATATATGGGGATTTAATATAATCAATCAATCTACAATTTAGTGTTCTTATCTTGCGACTATCTTTATATAAAATCTAGTTTTTAAGGAATAGCTTCGGCCTTCGGGTTTCGTCAAAGCATCCGATTAATCCTACAAGTGAGAAGATTTCTTTGTAACGAGTTTCTCGCAAGCTCATCATAGATAAAACACTCAAGCCAATACGTAAGCGACCAAGTGGTTTATACACAAAGTACGCGCACAGTGGAAGATGTAGCGCTCTTAACCCTAGAACCAATACCATCTTACCAACACATAGTCACATAGGGTTACAGATTCTATTTGTTTCACTGTTGATAGATGTATAATTTTTCAAAAAATTCAACCATGTATATTCTAATAAGAGATTTAATTCCTTGCATTCCCACGTATTTAGAACACAATATATGTCATCAACATCTTTTTTTTTGTGATAATATATATCAACATCAAGTTTGTGGATTGGATTCTAAGAATGAAATGACATGGCATTGATTTTACTAACATGGCATGTTTAACATTTTGTGGCAATCAAACAGTGAGCTATCATTGTTTTAAGCATATATATGACAAATTATTATATTTAGATATTAATGTTCAGCTATGTCATAAAAAAGAAAATTCCGAATTTTTCAATAAGAAGATTGATAAGTAAGATAAAACACTATCATGCAAAAGAATTGAAAAAGAAGAAAACGAACCATAACACTCCTAAGTCCTAATCATTCCTCCTTTCATCTAATTATAATTATATACCTATTGTGGACTTTTCATTGCTATTCTGTAGGTGTGGAGTCTTTTATCAATTTTCTAACGAATTGACAAATAATTTAATTTCTTTTCTAATAAGGTCACGATATGTGTAATATAAGAAATCTTCTGCTTAAGAAACCGGTTTAATTTGCACCATTGCATGAAGGCGAACACAAGTAGCAAAACATGATGCACCAGTTATCATTATGCGATGAAAGTTCACTACTCCGCTTGCAGTAATTGGGGAAGTTAGATCAATAACCATTTGCTTGTGTTGATCGTTTACTCATTCGCTAATGGAATTATTAAAAATTAGATCAAAAGCTAATACACGTGAATAACACGAACTATAGAGTTTTTCAACGTGAATCTTTTTATAAAATGGTGTGATGTTCAATATTTATAAAATATTTACGTAATAATTAATGAAATGAAGAAGTTTCAGTAGAAAAAAAAACTAATTATATAACATATGGAAAATGCATTCTAAATTAATCGTCGGCATTTTAGTTTTTAAAGAGATGTCGGTCACATATTTTTGATGAATTTATCATTTTTTTTTAAATTTTTCTATTTTTTTACATGCACTAATTTTTAATTAAAATAGCACGTCATACTTAAACTTAATAAAGATGTAGTTCAATAAATAAGAAAGGTTATTAATATTTTATAAAGGGTTGCTTTCCATAATTATTATGAGACATGTGGACATTATAAAGAAATATAGCTCAAAATTTTCTTTTAAGAAAATAATTATTTATTGTATGCACAAATTCTAATTATGCTATTTCAGAACATATGACATGGGGTCACAAGCTTTGGAATGATTGTCCTCTTTTCTAAATTGATAAAATAACCAAACCATATTTCCAGTATAAATCTTTTCCTGGATCCACTCAAGACATGTCCTAGTTAACGTTATAGAAGACTTTATTTTATCTCAAATAAAATGTAAAATAAAAATCAGTACCGATCATCTTTCACAAACATTAACGTGCTCTATCTAATTCCTAAAAGAAATCTCCAAAATTACTTTTACCTTCCTAAAAATACAACAATACTAGTATTTTTCTTAAAATTATGCAAATATTTTTTTTTTCTGTCCTACGGTCAAATTTAGCAGAAGGTGACAGGTTAAAGGACCTACCTTTTGTAAAACCCAAGTAAAAAAAACATTTTGAGCAAAGGACAGATTTGTCATTTTCCGTTCATGATCTAGATCTAATTTTTCAACCTACATTAATGTCACCTAATCTTTGCACAAATCACTAGACACACATAACCTAATCCGCTTACATTAGTCACAAAAGAAATAAAAATCCGATTCTTTAAAGAAAATAATTTTATGATAATGTAGATTGTTTTTCTAAAAGCTTTGATATTTGAATAATGATACTTACAAGTTAACAACCTTCAACACAATCCCCAAATCTCGGATTACGATTAAGTAAGATTTAAGAAGACAAATAAAAAATAATCGAGTTTTACGAGGGGATTACACACAACGACCGTATCATTTTCCCTTAATTGCATTGATTACACCAATTTATAAAAATAAAATTTATCCGTTGAAAAATCAGTTTCTACCCCTAATTAATTTTTGTTAATTTACTACTCTCTATTCAACGTTTCAATTTCCAAAACAAATCTCACTATTAAGGTAATTAAGAAACAACAAAAAAGGCAAAATAACAAATTTTATACTATTAAAAACAAAAAAGCAATTTTTTTTTTACTGTTGTGCGTCAAATCATTCTCATCTTTTAATTTTGTCGCACAAAGAGTTCCAAATCTAAAAGAATATAATTGCAGACACAGAGAGAGAAAGAGAGCTGTTGGAGTGTGAACTAGAGAAGACAATGAGATGACTTTCATTATCATTTTGCAGCCATTTCTCAGTTTCTTCGGTATGTTTCCTTCTCTAATGATCTCTCTCTCTCTCTCTCTGGTCTCACATTTTTCTCTTTTGTTCTGACACTTCACTTGT